GTAGCAGAACGTGCTGTATGCGAGTGGTAAAATGTATTCTTTGCGAGTGGCAAAAACAGACGTATGCAAGGGTGAAATGAGTTTCAACATGTATAGCAAATATTCTATATGCAGATAAAATGGCGTATGCGAGGGTTATTCTTTGCGTGATGTAAACTATGTTTTATTTGAGTTAAAGAATGTCTGGATTCTAGACAAGATTCATCACGGATGAAGTCACTTTTCCTTTGTAAATACCTGGATTTTAACAGTGTAACAACATACTTCAATATGGATTTCTTCACGGTTAGACTCAAAAAGATTGTCAGTCATGACTGACTGTGAACACTTGCATATATAAAGAATATGTTAAAGAATCATAAAATTATAATTATCGTTAGTAAAAACACATGGTCACATAGAGGTCACGCCTATGAAAATGAATTCCTTTGTCACGCACTGCTGATTCCGTGAAAACAATGGCAGGCTTGAAAAGTAGTCACACCTCAGAGAAGTGTTAAATTTGCCACAAGCAATGGACACAAAAACTAAGATGGTTGTTAACTAGCACACAATTCCAGCATAATACATTGATATGAATCGATAGTATACGTGAAGAAATAAAGTGTATGTTGAGTGATAGCCCGTAGGTTTACATCATTGTCACTATATCCTTGTTGTGGACAGGAAGTTTGTTTACATGCAACCCGGAATGAAACAGAACGTTCGCCGTTGCTTGACCAGAATAGAGGGAGTGTGTTTACGGCCTCAATACCTAAACACTTAGACCTAAACATTTCAATTTGTATGAGGTTTAAAGAACTCATAACAAATTATAAACAAGTAGTAATAAGTTATATGTTTCGTTAAAATAAGAATTGGTGTTGAAATAATCATACAAGTATAGTTAACATCGGTAAAAAAAAATGTGTACAATGGCATGCTTCAAAGTAATCTTGTTTGAGACATTAAATTTCATCAAAAATCAAATTATGGTTCTTGAGATATCAGTGGAACAGACGGACGGACACACATACACACACACTAACTGCAAAGACTCCCATTGTGTGCTTTGCACACAGGAGTCCAAAACTATATGTAGATCCATTCATGGTACCATAGACTGGAGGGTCTATGATGAGACATGCAAAGCGTTTTTTTTTTAAGATTGGATATTTATCAGTACTTTCAAAAATTTCAATAATGTACCATTGTCACTGTCAGTGTGTTTTTGCACCTTGAACATGTCAAAAGTACTACTCTTGTGTGGTTTGTTTGAAAGAAAATGACTGATATTGTTTCACTTTTAGGTGATAATGGTGAAGTTCACATTGCTTTTTTGATTTTCTTGTAGCATGTTGTCAGTAATATATTAAAGGGAATTGCAGATTAACGCCATATTACAAGCACTATGTGAAAGACACATTTCAAAACAATATATAGCCAGGC